CTCTGGGATGATTGTTGTCAGCTCTTTTGTCCCCATGCGTGGTTAATGCCTGCATGAGGCAGTTTAGAAAGATGGAGAAGCATTGTGGTATTGCGGCACCAACATGCTGATGCAGGCTCAACTCTGCGCCAGCTGGTCAGACTGTTCAACTCTCCTGATGCAGGCTCAACTCTGTACCAGCTGGTCAGACTGTTCAACTCTCCTGATGCAGGCTCAACTCTGTACCAGCTGGTCAGACTGTTCAACTCTCCTAATGCAGGCTCAACTCTGCACCAGCTGGTCAGACTGTTCAACTCTCCTGATGCAGGCTCAACTCTGTACCAGCTGGTCAGACTGTTCAACTCTCCTAATGCAGGCTCAACTCTGTACCAGCTGGTCCAGACTGTTCAACTCTCCTGATGCAGACTCAACTCTGTACCCGCTGGTCAGACTGTTCAACTCTCCTGATGCAGACTCAACTGTGTACCAGCTGGTCAGACTGTTCAACTCTCCTGATGCAGGCTCAACTCTGTACCAGCTGGTCAGACTGTTCAACTCTCCTGATGCAGGCTCAACTCTGTGCCAGCTGGTCAGATTGTTCAACTCTCCTGATGCAGGCTCAACTCTGTACCAACTGGTCAGACTGTTCAACTCTCCTGATGCAGGCTCAACTCTGTACCAGCTGGTCAGACTGTTCAACTCTCCTGATGCAGGCTCAACTCTGCGCCAGCTGGTCAGACTGTTCAACTCTCCTGATGCAGGCTCAACTCTGTACCAGCTGGTCAGACTGTTCAACTCTCCTAATGCAGGCTCAACTCTGCGCCAGCTGGTCAGACTGTTCAACTCTCCTGATGCAGGCTCAACTCTGTACCAGCTGGTCAGACTGTTCAACTCTCCTGATGCAGGCTCAACTCTGTACCAGCTGGTCAGACTGTTCAACTCTCCTGATGCAGGCTCAACTCTGTACCAGCTGGTCAGACTGTTCAACTCTCCTGATGCAGGCTCAACTCTGCGCCAGCTGGTCAGACTGTTCAACTCTCCTGATGCAGGCTCAACTCTGCGCCAGCTGGTCAGACTGTTCAACTCTCCTGATGCAGGCTCAACTCTGCGCCAGCTGGTCAGACTGTTCAACTCTCCTGATGCAGGCTCAACTCTGCGCCAGCTGGTCAGACTGTTCAACTCTCCAAGCCTGGCCGAATTAGAGGCAAAGCAGAAACCAAAGGCTTAGATATAAATCCAGACAAAACAGCAGAGAAACGGGGAGGCAGGAGATAGCTCCTAAATCAATGGCAGAAATGATTCTGGCATTTCAAATTACAGTCACTTCAAACATAAATTTTAGGTAAGGATATGGCTTATAATTCTCAGCAGGATTTAATACCAAGTCCACACCAATGTTCCCACCGATTTGGGAAATTTATGAACAGGAAACTCTGCTACATGAATATCAAGGTTTGATATGAAGTTGAGAGACAAAGCTAGAAAGCACCTATTAGTTAACTATGAAACTCGTGAATGCCTGTAATTAATAATATGCAATATAATCCACTAGAAATTTGATATAGAACAAAGTATGGCAATTATAATTGTATATTTCCAAATGTCATTGCTTCCATAACCTACGTATGCACAAGGCATTTAATAACCATCATTTTATTTAATGTAACATTGTATATTATGAATTTTCAACTAGAAAGTTCAACTAAACCTGTGCAATTATGGTAGTTTTTATTTTTACAGCTGGATTTTTAAGTTTCCAAAAAGTGAGTACACTGGCAGTGTTATCATTAATGTCATTTATGTTAATATGATAACAAAATGTGCTAAAATACTTAAGTCCTCAGTCCCTGAATTTGCCAGCAATATTTCAGAGCATTTATTCTCTGGACAATTTTAATGTGCCATTGGACCTTTTGTTTTTTATCTATTGAGATGGTGCCACCCTGTCTAGACCTATCGTGGAGATTGTTTGATCATGCTGTTGGTTCAAACTGTCAACTTGACACAACACGGACTCACACTTCCGAGATTACTCAGGTCAGACAAGGTTATGAGCATGTCTGTGCAGAACTGTCTCCGTTGTTAATTGCTAGAAAGGGGTTTGGCCCACTGAAGGCAGCCCCATTGCAGAGCAGGTGATTCTGAACTGTGTAAGAAAACTAGCGAATTGTGGGCCAGCCTGAGGATCAGGGAGCACACTTCTTCAGTTTTTACTTCAAGTTCCTCTTTGAGACCACGCCCTGACTTTCCTCACCCGGAGGTGAGGATGAAAGTAAACCCTTTCCTCCTGTAAGTTGCTTTTGGTGAGTCTTAGGATGCGCTCGGGTTCCAGGTTTCTCCAGTATAGTTGCAACTGGGAGGCTGCATGAGCTTTGAGCAGACCACGTGGTCTTTCAGATGGTGGTCTGCAGCTCAAGCTCAGCGTCTGAAATTCCTTTACTTCATTAAAAACGGATGGCATTAGACCACCAGTGAAAAGGAGGTGGGCAACGGAGAGATCAATGGAGTCAGCTGACGTCACCAGGCTTCTTGCCATCCCTCCATCCCTCTACCCCATCCTAGTATCTCCAACTAACTTAACAAGCAAGGTGTAAATTCCCTTTGGATGTGGTACTCAAATTGCCTCCGTGCGTCTCTCTCCACGTCCTGTCCCTTCATCCTAGGCCTGAAAGGAGAGGATGATATCCCTTTCACTGGCTGAGAATAATGGAGTCTGGGCCTTTGAAATGGGGTGCGTTGTCATTCAGTCTTATCCACATCAACTGCTGGGTCAGGAGGCTTAAAAAATGACAGACTGGTGTAAATGTTTCTGTCTCGTAATACTTGATGTAACTTGATTTTAGACATGATTTTAGCACATCCAGCTGCAAATGTAACCGAGCTGAGATAATGGTTCAGCAATAAATGTTGGTAATTAGCTTTTGAGGGTTTACTGCTGTTTGAAATAAAGGCCTTCTCTCCTGCAACTTGACCTTTAAACAATTAGCATTGACTTTCTCCAATCAATTAAACTCATATTAGGTACTTAGTTTAAGTTAGGAGATATTTACTTGTAGCAGACAATCCTTTTATTGATGTTGCTTTTTGTCTTTTAGAATCTCAATCCGTGCCTTCTTTCCAGACTGTTTCTTCAAAAGAGATACATAAAAATAGAAGGTAGACAGGAGTTTTGCCACGAGTCTCTGCCTCAGCCCCTGGTTTCTTAGCCACAGAATCCCAATCGTGTCAAGAGAAAGAAAACATCCCAGCTGTAAAATCGTTTCTCAGAATTTACCAGGAGAGAAGAGGTCACGGGGCATGGAACTAACTAATAGACAGATGTCATTAGCAGGTCTTCTGGGGAAAGTCGCATTGAATAGAATCAGCTCAGTTAGGCATCCAGGATTTATCTTTGGGCTTTCATCTTTCTTCCTTCTCCATCCGAGAACATATGCCTGGAGATATGCTCACCAGCTCTGATGAAGGGTAAAACCTATGTATTGTGTGATGTCTTACTCTTTCGGCTTTTTGGGGGGCCCACCACCCAGTTCCCAAATAAATCACACACAGAGGCTTATTCTTTCTTATAAACGCCTGACCTACCTTGACTTGTTTCTTGCCAGCTTTTCTTAAATTATACCAACTACCTTTTGCCTCTGGGCTTTTTCCTTTTCTTTCTGTATACCTTACTTTCACTCTGACTCTGGGTGGCTGGCCCCTGATGTCCTCCTCTCCTTGTTCTCTTGCTCCTCGTTCACCTCCTCATTTCTCTTTTTATCCTCTCTGCCTGTCAGCCCTGCCTATCCTTGCTTCTGCCTCGCTATTGGCCGTTCAGCTCTTCATTAAACCATCGGGTGTTTTCGACAGGCAAAGAATCACAGCTTCACAGAGTTAAACAAAGGCAGCATAAACAAAAACAACATACCCTAAAGTAATGTCCCCGATGCCCATGCTTTAAACTGTAACATTCTAAAATGCCTTAAGAACTTATTTCTAGTTTGATGAGGACAACAGAAAGAATCTCTCACTAGCTGAAGCTATTCTTTACATAATTATCAGGAAAAGCCTATCTGGTCATTTGTGAAGTTAATTTTCTTTTTCATTACTGGGCTTTAGCTCAGAGCCTCATGCAGGCCAGACAGAGCTTATTATCAGTGAGCTATATCACCAACCCTCCATTGAAGCTGTGCTTTAGGAAGTACCAAGAGTGTCAGCTAAGATCAGTCTTTCCAGTGCTGTCTTCAGAGACGATGAGTGAAGAAGGAAAAGGATCACTGTCTTGTGCTTACACCATTTTGCAAAGTATTGTCTTCAATTCAGAAATCAGCTCTGAAATTAATTCTAAAAGTTGTGCTTCAAAGCCACAATGAAATATCACCTCATTTTTGGTGAGGATACAGGAAAACTGGAACCCTTGTACACTCGCTCTCCTGGCGCCAATGTGAAAGAGTTCAACCGCTAGAGAAAACAGTATGGCAATTCCTCAAGGAACTAGGCATAGAATTATGGAAGATGCAGCAATCCCACTTCAGGAAGGAGATCCGAAACACTTGAAGGCAGCATCTTGAAGAGATATCCCTATACTCAAATCCAGACCAGGGTGACCAAATACTAAAATAAGGAAGAAACTCAAGCTTCCATGGAAGAATGAATTAACAAAATGTAACAGAAAGATAGCAGAGCATTGTTCAGCCCTGAAGATGAAGGGGATTCTGAAACATGCTAGAACATGCCAAAATAAACGAGTCAAAAATGTTGCATGATTTTATTCATGTCATGATCTACAGGTGTCAATTTAATAGAAGCAGAAAGTAGAGTGAGAGATTGAAAGAAGGATAATGAAAGTTTCAGGATGAGAAGCTCTTGACAGCAGCTGCATGACAGTGTGCAGGAACTCAATAATGTAAAGTCTATGTTCTTAAAAGTGGTTAAAATGACCAATTTTACCTTACATGTAGTTTGCCACCAATAATCAATACTTTGGCTTCAGTAGCTATGTGTGTAAGCAAAGAAGGTCGTTGTCTAACACCAAGTTTCCGGTTCTCATATCAACAAAACGACTATGGCTCATATCCACAGCTTGTTGTTTTAAAGACACTGCAGTGAGCAGCATGCACCAGCCTGCACACAGCCATAAGAAATGTCGAGTAAGAGGTTGGGAAGCTCAGTAGTAAAATACAGGCTCAGGAGACACAGAGCTCGGGATTCAATACCTGGAGTTCAGAAACAAAGAGCTGGAGTTAGACATTTGTAACTTATTTTATATAAAATGTGGGAAGTCATAAAATTGGACTTGCTAATCCTTAAATTAAAAACTCTAAACCATTATTCATTTGCTTATGATTTTGACACAATCTTGCCTAGAGAGGAGATATGACAAATTCTTTAAGTTTATGAATCCTTCCCAACTGGAATAAAGTCTAAGAATGCTTTTGTATATTTAAAATATTCCAATTAAAACATAAGAATAGGGTCTACTTTACAACAAAGGATATCTAAAAAACAAAACAGGGCATTTTAAAACTTCATTTAAACTTTGAGACTTCATTTAGGCTCAGAAGATTAAGATTCTTATTATCTGACTTTATTCTCACCCAGCACCATTATAATCACAGAATGCATGAAGCCCACTCTGCACCTTAAGAGGAATTCAAGATGATTTATTCCATGAAACACGTTTCTTATTATAAAGAACTCATTAATCACTTCTTCCACATATAATGAAAACTGCTATCATGAATTTTTCATTCATAGTACCCTGAAGTGACTAACTTTGAATTGCATTTTTCTAAAAACAGAAAATACTCACGTATAATTATGCCTCTGAAGTATGTGCAGTTCACCGCCAACCTGGACCAAGGGGCTATTGATTCTCACAACCTATTGATCAAATTTTATAATTTACACATTTTAGAATCCTTGGCTATTTTACTGACCTAAAATGCTTCGTGGTTCTTTTCCTACCCCACAGGTAATTACACAGAGAAGGAACCTTGAAGGTCACCCACGCTCTTCTTCTTCTCTCTGAAATCGAGCCTGCGAGTGGCCGCGGTGAGGAAGTCTTCTAAATCACTTCCGTTGCTGGGAAAACACCCTACGAGATAAGATGTGTAGTTGTATAAATGAATGGTCAATAGTAAGTGAATTCCATTTTCTCTAAAAGAATGAAGCAGCAAGCCCACATCTCCGAATTCAACAGGACTGCATACTGATAAGTTTCATTAGTGTCCTTTAACGATATCCTGCTTGTGACTTATACCGAGTAGCGATTGGCATTGTCTGAGATGTGCTGGTATGCAAGGCTCTTCCTGTCAACACTTCACTGCCTTCGAACCCACAATTTCACCCAAAAATGAAGAATTAAAGTAAATACACATCAAAGATGCACAATATACCTTTTCTTCTAGGCCTACGGCTAGAACTGTAGTTCACTGGCCTTGGCTTTCTAACACCTACCCAGGACTACAAGGTCCTACTGAGGCCTTTTCAGTACTTACTGACCCTCAACATAAACTGTGCCAGAAAGGAGCGAGACGTGAATTCTCGGAGAAAGATAGTGTATGCAGCTGGGGAAATATGAAAATACTGTGTTCAGATCCTAAAGTGAAAATCCAACGATGACAATCCAACAGCTGAAGAGGTCACAGGAAGAAAAATCAGCAAGTGAAGAATCCGCTCCGGAAGTGAGACTTACCTGGGCGTTAATCAGAACATGGCCTTCTAAGGAAAACTAAACACAGGGTAAATGGAACGCTCTCATCTGTGTCTATCTCTATGTGTGTGTGTGTGCATGTGTGGAGAGAGAGAGAGAGAGAGAGAGAGAGAGAGAGAGAGAGAGAGAGAATCTGAAACAGATGAGGTATATCTGTGAGGTATACCCACACAGGTGTATGCGGATGGAGAGCAAGGGCTCCGTGCTCCCCCGAGTTTTTTTTTCCCCTCTTCTTCCATGCCACGCCTATTATTTACTGGTGTTTTTCTGATCAGCGGCAATCTTTTGAAGCAGCACCGCTTAATCTTGTAAGAACACAGGAATCACCTGGGCCTTCCAAGGGGCTGCGAGGAAGGAACACACTTTTGCATCCAGCTCAAAAAGCTACTTGGCAGGACTGAGATGCGGGTTCTGATACCCGCAGGAGACCTCGGTCTGAATGCTAAGCATGAAGCTGGGTCCAGACTGCAAGCAGGGAAAGCCTGACATCCACTGGCCGAACACAGCTCTCCAACATTGCACACGAGTGCCTAGGGCCTTAGACCTTATTTTGGAGGCCTGGGCTCACTCCCACGCACCCCCAGGTGATCCTAACTGGGAAGTTTGCCCTCAGTGCCTCCACCCTTATCAGGTGGATCAGCCCAGGGGTCCTTGACTAGCTGGACTGGGGCAGCTCTGACTAGTCTCAGATTGGTCTGGGCCAACGGGCATCGCTCCCAGCGTCTCAGGCCCTCAATCCCAGGACCCCGAGGCCCCGCGGGGGACCCTTCTGAGCTCCGGCGTCGGCCCGCGGGGGCTCCCCTCACCGAGCCCCCCCCCCAGCTTCGCCAGCCACGCATGCGCACAGTGGTGACCGGCCAAGTAACGGACTGCGGCTCCCCCCACCGGAAGTGGGGCGCGGCGCACCAGGAGCCGCGGATTGTAGCGTGGCGTCTCGCGCTTCCCTGGGCGCGCCATGGCACGGGCCAGAGCCTCCGAGGAGCTGCTCCTGAGCTCCGTCGCGCTGTGGCTCGCCTTCCTCGGCGCTAGCCCGGCGGCCGCGTCCAAGGCGGTCACCGCACACTTGGCTGCCAAGTGGCCCGAGACCCCGCTGCTGCTGGAGGCCAGGTGGGTGCCCTGGGGCCTGGGCCCAGCCGAGCGCCGAGACCGGGGAATGGCGGCGAGCGGAGGGACCCTGGCATCTCCATAGACATCCCCCTTCGGCAAGGGGCTATACCGATTCCGCGTCCCCGGGACCAGGGTGCCCCCAAATTTTGGGTTCACTCAGGCCCCGAGGTCACTAGGATGCGTCTTCCCCTCCAACCCGTGCGTCCCCTTAGATCTACCGTCCTCCGGGACTGCGCGTCCCCACTGCCCCGGAGGCTCGCACTGACTCCCCGCAGATCCAGCGTCTCCTAACGACTCCAGGACCCCCCCCCCCCACCCCCTCGGACCTAGTGTACCCTCAGATCCCGCGTCCCTAGCCGTCTTTGGTCAGATGTCTTCTTGCTCCCTCCCGCGGTGTCCCCAGGCACCTGGAGCATCACTGCTCAGGGCAGTCCTCTACATAACTCTGCCACTCACTTGCCCCACCCGCTCGTGATTTTTAAAACTTCTCTGTCTCCATTCGTGTCCCTGCGTGTCCTGCCGACGTGAAAGAAGGAAGGCACAGTTTAATGCAAGCTCTCTGCAAAGTTCTGGTTAGCAGATTGTGTTTGAAGCTCCGAGTTTTCTTTTTACACTTTTGACTTGTCTCATTCCCAAGTTTGCGGTGGGATGGTGAGGCAGCTTTTCAGCGATAACCCCCCACCGCCACACACACACATCATCATCATCCAGGGGGATTTGTTACTCATTCTGTTTAGTTACCTAGCAGAAAGCAGACGTCTTTACTGCATTTTACCCTTTCAGATTACGGTGAACAGAAGCAGAAATGCTGCCTCTTGTGGCTTGCGGTGGCAAACCTTTGTAATCCGTGCCAGAGCAGAAGGGTTGTAAATTCATGAGTATGTGGCCAGCCTGAGGCTATAAAAGGGAAACTATCTGGTTTTTCTTTTCCTTTCTATTGGGCATAAAGTTTTGTAACTGTTGATGTGTTTATAAAGCAGCATCCCATGGTTCTAAAAACGAAACCCCATCACACTGTATTACCTTCTATTTATTGGCTGCTAGCAACAATTTTTATTGAATAAATTATTAAAGCTTCCTCTAGTCCATAGTGTCTCCTAGCAGTGCCTGGGCTTGGTCGCACACTTAGTTCCCAGCCGCCAAATTTCTTTTTTTGAACTGTTAGTTGCGTTGTCTGCTTTTTTTATTTTTTTGCAAATTCCAGATAGAATGTTCCTTAAAGCCCTTTACAAGGTAGTCTGGGTCAAATTTGCCACCCTTGTTACTTGTGCTGTGTTGAATGAGATTCCTACAGAAGTATGTCCACATCCTAACCATGCCTCCCAAAATCTGCAAATGACAGTTTGTTTAGGTCAAAAGTCTTTGCAAATCTGAGAATATTGGGGCATTTTTAATTATCGTGGTGGCCCGCGAGTCCAATGTCAGAAGACACAGATAAAAATACTTAAGGAGAGGGCCATGCAAAGATTGATTTAGAGATTGGGTTAAACAGCCTCAATTCACAGAACAGCTGGAGCCAATAAACTCCCAGAGGCGAGGAGTCTGTTCAGAGCCTTCTGAAGCAGGGCTTCCTTGCCAGGAGCATGATGTAGGTAGGACTTTTGGCCTCTAGAGTCCTGAGAGAGTAAGTCGTAAGTGTTTGAAGCCACAATGGTTTGGGCAGTTTATTATAAGAGCAATTAAAAAAAAACAGTTTGGTACCAAAAAGTGGGATCTCAATGCAACAAGAACCCTGAACTGTTAAAAAGTAGCTGTGGAGCTGGGCTAGGAGAACTTTGAGAAATGTAGACAAGGAGTATACAACCATGAAGAGACTTCCCGAATAGTAGTGGTGATTCTGATGAGGACTCAAGGGTGTGGTAGAACCAGATGCTGTTACTTTGGAGAATAATAATCTTGAACAAGATATTGATAAAATATGAATATTGAAAGTCGTTCTGGGAAGGGTTCAAAAGGAATGTATTGTTGAAAGCAAGAAAAACGATGAGTCTTGTCATCTACTGACAGCACTTGGTAGTTTAGGTTCAACCGCTTGTCGACACCACCTCGGAGGCGATAAACTTGGGCAGAAATCAAACTGAGGAGACTTTCAAGCAGTAGTGAGAATGTTACCTCAGGGCTCTTTGCTGGGCATGTTGCAGAACAAGGAGAGAAACACTTTGCTGTATGGAATTTTGCAGCCTGTTTGTATTGGAAAGGATGCAAAAACCAGGAACCGTGAATTGTTCTAGAGAAATGGCCAATGTCAGGCTGACAGCTGAGTTAACTGTTGGCTGAGTAGAGGCAGGTGATTCCTGGACCTGTTCGTTCATTTCAAGTAAAACTGGTATAAAGACGGCAACTCTAGATCCTGCCCAAGTTCCTAGAGCGGAGCTGTGCTCAGAAAAACAAGTATAATCAAGTCCTGTCCTACTGATGGGTCATACTTTTACCTACGACTACACAGTGCATGTTGAGCATCCCAAATCCTGAATTCTAAATGGTCTAAAACCCCAAAATTGATAGTGTCAACATTACTCCAATGTGGAAAATTCTACACCTGACCTTATGGGACAATTTCCTATTCATTTTTGTGTTAGGATTTTTGTTTTAAGTAATATTGTCTATGTAAATAGTTAAATTTACTATTTTGGCTTTTGAACTACTTGGTTTTTTTTTATATATGCTATCCTTTGATAATTTCACATATCTGTAAAATGAATTTTGACCATATCTATCCCCTGTTCCTTCCCCAACTCCTCCTGGAGTCCCCACCCATGTCCTCTTATCTAAGAAAAATTAGCACACTGATGAGAATCACTGCCACAGACACATGCATGGGTGCCGGCCATCCACCTGAGCTCGGACAGCCTACCAGGAGCCGTACCCTGGAATACAACTGGCTCTCCTCACTGCAGAAGCCATCAGTTATCTGCCAGTAGCTTCTCAGCTTGGACTGGGGCCTGTGAGTCCCGTTTCTGTCCATGCTGGAAAGTTAACCAGCTTGATGTTGTACAGGTTTTATACAGACAGCCACAGCGACGGCGAGTTTAAGTTCAGAGGTCTTGTGTCCAGAAGTCGGTTTCACAGCATGACTCCTCTGCCTCTGGCTCTTCCTATTTTCCGCCTGTTTTTCAGTGTTCCCTGGACGTTTGGGGAAGTGATAATGATAGTCTATCAAGGACGAGCACCCACAGACGCTCACTCTTTATACTTTGACCAGTGTTTAGTCATTGCATTAACTTCCACTCACAGAGAAGCAGAGCGCTTCTCTGATGAGGATCTGGGCAATGCAGGAACAGTGGTATGAAGGAAATGCTGAGAAGCCTGTTTGATGCTGTGTCCATTTAGTAAAGCAGTGCTGGCTTCTCCCTAGGGCCCATAACATGCCCCCAAGTTCCACGTCTCTGCGAGGTCTGTAGTGTCAGGCGTGAGTTTCCTCCTCTGGAGTGGGCCTTAAATCCAGGCAGAAATTGTTTATTAGCCCCTAATGTTCACGCCGCTGTTGAACAATGGGCACACTTTTCCAGACTGCTTGTCATTGCATGCTCAGAGGTCACCACGGTTTCCTCCCCAAACAGCCTGCAGTTTGATTTCTCCATGTCTGTGCCAAAGTCTTTTGTTTTTCAGCAATAAGGTGCCTGTATGGACTATGGACTACTTATAGTACCAATTCTGTTGAGGAACAATGGGTGATTTGTTTATTTACCTTTAATGCTCTTATTTTTGTTACCTTAGGGGAATTTCATGTAGAATGAAAAACAAATTACAAATTCTAAGTTGTCAATAAGAAAAAGTCAGAAGTAATACACAGTGTTGTCTTCTTAGCACAATTGTATATATGTATATGTATATATGCATATGTAATTACCCCAGATGATTGTGTATATGTATATATGCATATGTAATTACCCCAGATGATTGTATATATGTATATGTATATATGCATATGTAATTACCCCAGATGAGAAGGTCAATTTATTTCCATATTGTGTTACACAAATTGATATCAGTTATTTAGCATTAGCAGTGTGATTTATAGTATCTAAACTAATTTTGTTTTCATTTATTCATGGATCATTTTTTTAACAGTGAGTTTATGGCAGAAGAAAGCAATGAAAGGTTTTGGCAGTTTGTGGAGACAGTGAGAGAGTTAGCGGTTTATAAACAAACAGGTGAGTGATGCACACATTTTAGCATATGAAATTTATACTTACATGCATGCATTAGATATATTTTAAGTGGTAATAGTTAAATTTGAATGCAAATTGCGTTGGTGAATCTGAACATTAAATTGAAGGTGGGGCATGTAGTTCTGTTGGTGCGTAGCAGGCAGGAAGCCCTGGTTTGATCACCAGCATTGCCAAGGAAGCAGGCTTGATGGTGCACTCTTGCTAGCCCATCATTTATGGTGCAGAAGGATGAGAAGATCAAGGTCATTCTGTAATAAACTGGCTCAGATGTCAACCTGGGCTGCATGAGACCTTGTCTCAAAGAAAAACCCTCTCTAAAGTTGAAAAGATTATTTAATAGAAACTGTGCTGCCTGTCGTTATATCAGCTTGCCCAGCTAGAGTCAGTTGTACAGAGGGAAGCTTAATTGGAAAAAAGTCCCAACTCAGATTAACCTGTGGGTGAGC